GGCAGCAACTAACTGTGGACTGCTTCAGGAAGGGAGCAGCTTCTGCACCGGGCTGCAGAGTGGGCAAGAATTACCAGGCCAGCAGCAGGAGGGCTCCGGAGATGCCACCCTTGAGTTGTGGAGCCCAATTTTGCACCCCTGTTTTTGGCACTCCCATATTCTACCAGAAACTGCTAGAAATCAAGCCACCCTTTCTAGGATGTACATAAAGCCTTGTCAGCATGCATAGACATGGTTTTATGGGCTTCCTTATCAGGACTCTGCAGCAGCCACTAGCAATGGGACAGACAGCTCCCTCATTAATCATTCAAATAGGGGGCCAGTTTACATTAAAATAATGGATCCGTGGGTGAGAAACACATTTGGCCTGCCCTCGGGAGCCTTGGCCTTTCTGTGTCCCCTCACTTCAGATCCAGGCTGCTGTACAAAGGTGCAGGTGAGGCCCAGGACTGGGAAAGGATTCAAGGGGACTGTTAGCTCCTCAATAGCAAGGCTCCCTTACTTCCGGAGGGCGTGGTGCCTGCACTGACCTGTCTGTTCTGGGAGGGCCTGCTTTTATGACCATAACTGCACTGCACGGCCCATAATAGATGGGTAGGGATTTAAATCCACACAGCACAACTTGGAGCCTGTGCTCTTAATCATTATCCCGATGATACTTTGAGACCAGATCTTCTAATTCTCACTGCACTCTCTCCACACTGCTTCCTCCTTACAAGGGGCAGGGCAAGACTCAAGCCCCTCCAGCTCATTATTCCCCTCCCCATCCATGCCAAGGCTGGAGTCAGAGCCACACCTGTGAGAACAGAGTAGGACAGCGCCTTGGCAGCCCGGCTGTCACATCATTTTTGAAAACTCCTTCAGCTTAGTTCAGCTTGGATACCCCTTGATGGGATACCATTAAATGTCAAGCTATCCTGAAGGACATGAGGACAAGGAAGTTGGAAAATTGCCTCCAAGAGGCCAACACCAAATTTCACCCAACTCCGCCCTCCAGTTTGCGGCTCAGAAAGATTTATGGTACTGCACAGATGGGTCATTCTTAGATAAAGGTCCTGCATCTTGAAGCTGACAGGCCCTCTCCATCAGTGCTTCAGGAAAACCTTCACCAATGAAGAATGAGCTGTCACCACAGCCTCAGTGATAGGCTCCTAAAGGTCTCCGTCGCCTTAGGATTTCTCATTTATCCTGCAAGAGGAACAACCACTCTTGATGCCAAATCGAGCGAGCAAGAGGGCTGGAGCATGGCTCTGAGAAGACTTCCCTGTCCAGCTCTGATGTGGGGCCCTGACTCTGCACCCCTCAGCCAATGTCAAGAGTGTAGGGAGCATCATTACTACTCGCTCCCACGAAGCCCAGCATCCAGTCAGTGTCTGCCAACATGACCTGCGGGGCAAATGCCAGAAGATGGATCAAAAAGCTAAAGACTTTTGGACCCAAGATGACAAAGTCCAACCTGCTAATGGAGAGGAAGCCATATGCCGCTCAGAGACAGGGTGCTGGCAGAAGTGTAGACTGAGTACCTGCCCACCCGATGTCATTCTCCCTTTCTCTCAGACTGACCTCTGAGTTTAGAGCAGCAATGTGCCCAGTTAAACCCCCCCATCTACCCAACTCATTTGCAGCTGGGGCACTGCAGGAGCTATCAGCACTACTCCACCAGGACTTCCGGAAAGGTTTTGCTTTCCTTTTATGAGGACAGCCCCTTCCACCACCACCCTCTTCTCATTCATGCCTGTGTTGTGTATGAGAAAATAGCTAAGGACATCTATCTTGCACTATGCTAAAGATGAAAGTGCAGAAAGACAAAAGGACCTAGGACACGATGGCATCATGGAACCGCAGTGCCTCCCCTAGAATCCTGCCTTTGGCCTTATGGTTGTGTGAGCAAAATAACCACACTCTTTGATTAAGAGCCTCGCTGCACATGGAGACAAACATAATCCTGGGTGATACAGTCCAGGCTTTTATGATGGAATTAGAGCAAGCAGAGTTTCTCCTCTAGAGCCTGTCTCCATCTGTATAAAGGGAGTGGCAAGAATAACAACCAGTACTGCTGGATCACCCACTGTGCACAGGCTCCATGAGGAGAGTTTGCCATGCATCCCCTGCAGAACTGAGAAAGCAACCATTGCATACAACAGGTAAAGACACGGTGCACACAACTATGCCTACTTCAGGGATTTTGCAAGGTTTCTGTGAGGATCAAGGGAACCTAGGCTGGAAATTCCTTAGTAACATAACCGGTTATGTGTGTACTTACCAAAGTCACTTTCCCTGCAGGAAACAGTCAAAGCAAGGTAGTAACAGTCTCACTCCTGGAGCAGGAAGGAAACTCATGAGACTCACCCCACCCCTCCCTCAGAGAGAAGGCAGAAACAGAGACATTTCAGCACAGTTGTGCCAAATACAAAAGCCAAGAGGCTGCCAGGTGAAAGCAAGCATTCCACGTGGCTTCACATGGGCCTCCTTCAAAAATGACAGCCCAGGTGTAACCCTGCCCAGACAAATCCCTGGAACCATGAGCTTGTCCTCTTTCTGGATTGTGCCTCCCATTAACACACTCCTAGCACACTCCTAGCCTGTGTGCAGCCAGGACCTCCAAAGTGCTGACCATCCTGTCATCACTGCAAGGGACTCTGCCTCTCATTCCAAAGGCTGCCCCCACTGCATTACACCTGCCTCCCGGGACTTTGGTATTTTCACCCATGTGTTATAGATCAAGGACTATCTCCAAGCAGCTCAAAGCCACATGATCACCTTATAGGAACTCAAGTTAAAACTTGAGTTTCCTGACCCCAAAGCTTCTGATCTGAATCAGCATGCGGACCTATCTTTGCATGTTTAAGAAATCTCTCTCCCTCCCTCCCTCTCCCTCCCTCCCTCCCTCCCTCTCTCTCTCTCTCTGATTCTCCCTGTGTATTTCTAAAGGGGTAATATTCCTATCTGCCTGGCTGTTTGTAGGGGTATGCATCTGTTTCTTTTTGTGTTTCTGTCTGTGTCTGTCTGTGTCTGTCTTGCTCTGTGAATCTCATACCCTTTTCCCCAGACCCATGTGATTGTCTGTCCGTCCTGTTGCTCTGTCTGGGGGCATGTGTTTTTCCCTCTAGTACACCACACAATAACTGCTTGTTTACCTGACTGTATCTCTTAGGAAACCCTAATCTCTACACCAACAAAGCCTGCTTGCTTTGTTGGCAGTTGCACCTCAAGTGCCTGGAATGAAGTACAAAATAGACACTGAATGTATTTTTATTGAAGCAATAACTAAGTATGTGCTGAACATATTGAGAAGAGAGAATGACAGAACCCCAGCACTTAAAACAACAATGGGGTCTCTCCTAGAGGCAGCAAGGAACTGGGAAGGGAAGAGATTTAAAAGCAATTTTTCCATTCCTTACCCAGAATACAATCAGAGAATTTGTCAAAACATCATCTCGTGTGTCTATTGTCAGGGCCCAGTGACCTGAGAGATTAAAAACGTGTACAGCATAGGGGTCAAAAACTAACACCATAGAAAATGTGGGTTCATACCTCAGCTCCCCCAACCCTTAGCTTCCCTGAGCTCTGTCATCCCCTTGACAGTCAAATGCCAGCAAGAACAGGACCTAGCAAGTAGAGTAAGTGCTCCAAGGACACAGGTCCCTCATTTTACAGATGAGTTACCAGAAAGGCCACAGGTCACAGCCATGAAGAGGCCTCCTATTCTGGGCCAGTGGAGAACTGACACTGGAGGAGAGTCAGGCCTCCAGCAGCTATGGGAGCCTGGAGTAGCCTTAGAGCTCCAAACACTGGGGACTTCCTACTCTAGAATGCACCCACAGAGTGCAGCCCTCTCTCCCAGGATTTGCACATGGCACAGCTCAGCAAGCAACCTCAATGGCAGGGGGCCTGTGTCTTAACTTCTATGATGCTGTGAATTAGGTGAAGTAACATGTCATCTACCTCCGAGAAGTGTGGAAATTAACTGGAATTAAAGGGCTCAGCACAGCGCCTGGCACACAGTAGATGCACACGAAATGCTAGATGCCATGATTAATGAGACAACTGCAGCCTGAGCCCTCTTCTCAAGCTGATTCTCAGACTTAACAGTGGGTCAAAAGAGCTAGTAGATTTTATCTGCGTAAACTCCACTGCTCGCTTGCAACACATCCTCAGATAAACAGATTCACCTGTCTAGGCCTCCTCTCTTGGGGAGAACCCAAATTCCTGCCTGTTGCCCAGAGGACTACGGTGGAGCTCACCCTTCCACTTCCCACTCACCTTGGAGGTGGGAGAGAAAAGAGGCCAGGGCAGAGGCTAACCTAGGGAAGGGAGAGGAGGTGGAGCTGGGCACCACCCACTGAGGCCTACTAGAATGCCTTCCTTCTTTCATCTGTAAGTAGTTCCTGAGTGCCAACCAAGGGCTGAGTATGTCAAGTGGGCTGTGCCCTCCAGGGACCGAAACTGATTCCCTGGATACTGACCAAGAGGCTCCCATTCATCCCTTGAGTCTCTCCAGGATGAAGATGAGCCTGAGCTCTCTATGCTTTCTACTTCTCACTTAGAACAGGACACAACGACTGATATCCTGAAGGGGCTGGGAATATCCAGTCTGTTAAGCAAAGGGAAGCCCAGCTTCCAGAGCAGGAGGCTTTGAGAAGTCACAACTGCGCCAAGTACGCAGATCTACTTTACAAGACACTCACATCCCACGTGGCAATGCCCAGTGTAGCCAGTCACCTTCCCCTCCAGGCCCCACTCCCAGAGAGGCCCAGGGATCACCTGGCCTTTGCTCCCACAACCCTGTCCTTTCTAAGCCTCACTGAAAATGTCTCTGTGGCTCTGGCACTGTGCTGGAGCCAGGTGACAGAGACCAAAGGAACCCAGACCCTGTCAAGCAGATCTTAAAGAGAAAAAAACATTAAATCTGAAGACACACAGGAATCAGTCTGTCCTTTTCTTGTCTGTGACACAGTAGGGAGGCTGGGCTATAGAAATGAAATATCGAGAAAAGTTTGCACAGTTTAGCTTTTATTAAAATTAAACATTCAATATGGGAAACTAGAACATGATTCTTCTTAAAATAATACATTTGAGGAAATGTTTCTTCAGCTATCACTGTAACTGATCAAGCATGTGACAAGTGTCCTTTTATGAGATATAAGTCCCCAACACCCATGCAGAAAACACTAGATCAAGGACTTTCCCTGTGCAATACATTGTACAGGGTGTCAATGGTCCAGTTTGACTGCTTGTGACAAGCACGGGGACAGAGCACCCACATAGACATACACATTCAGTGTCTTGAGTTTTCTTGCAAAGAAAGTATTTTACACGGACAAATTAAACAATAAGGGTCTTTTATTGCCACTAAAAAGGGGGAAATAATTTACAATTTATAACCAAAGGCAAGGACATAGCACTAAGGGCAATTTGTTTCTGCATATGCCACAGTTCCACACATTCCTGCCGTGGCTGATGCTGTATCCATGAGTCACTGAGTCCCATGACAAAGGGTGCACAAGGTCTATGAGGCTGGGATTACCCACCATGGAAGAAGCTTCTTCCATTTCTATTTGGAAGTGCTGCCAGCTTTCCTGCTTGGTCAGTAGAAAAACAAAACATCTGAACATGAGGGGCTTAGGACTCCAAATAGTGCAAACACTAAAAAAAAATACATTCCAATCTCCTTGCTTCTGCAGGCAAACAGAGCCTTAAAAGTTGAATATGAGTTTGTTCCCAACTTGATCCAAGCATGGAGGCAATTTAAATGGCACCTGTCCCAACAATAATAAAAATAAAGATTTGTTTTAGAAACACAAAGCGTGTGGCAGATAAGTACACAGACAGAGCCTGGAATGGAGACACACCTAAAGAGACAAGTTAGAGGTGTAGCGTGAGCATCTGCAAAGCACAAGCTTAATGTGTTCCTCATAGGGACTGGGAAGGGCCCCTCTTTTAAAGTACAGTGACGGATGCTTCCAAAAGAGACATCATCTGGCAGCCAAGGCCTTGGGTAGTGGTAGTTTCAGAATAACAAGAGGACAGAAGCGAATGAGGAATGGTCTGCTGAACTCAGGAACTAGGGAATATAGGCCAGAGGGTAAGCCCTTCTCTGGAGCTGCTCCATACGACAGTGTGCCAGGCTCCATGGCAGACAGTAAGAGCCACCAGGAGACAGGCCACCCAGCCTCAGCCCTCAGAAAGCAAACTCCAAAAAGAATTAACAAATGGATAGACAGGCAATATAGACAAAGGGACAAACAAGCAATATAGACGGGAAGATGCTGAATCAAGCTTAACATTAGTCTCTGGCAATTCAAGACACACCAGTGACTGTGTTTTTCAATTCAGCAGTCTCCCTTGAATACAATATGAAAAAGAAGACTCATATACCTGGAGCTCCTGAAAAATCTGGAGTTTGCTTTTGGGGGGTGGGGAGAGGACAAAGGAAAGATAGCTACAGGCACCAACTGTGTGTGAGAGTGAATGACATATACAACATAACCTTTCATTATCATGGACAATAAAAAGTGATTCGTACATTTTGAAAAAATTATCTTATAAAAATATCTACATTAAGATTTTAGCCTAAAAGCTATCGCTTCGGTTTTATAAAAAGGCAATCTTTGAAAGGATCTGGCTCAGAAATATACAAACATTACACAACAAATATCAAAGTAAGACAGCTTAAAAAGCATCTTAGGGGATATTGCAACTGGCTTGTCATGAAATAGAATTAAGTATTCTTATTGCATAGCAGAAAATGAGGTCACTTCATTTGCATAATACTGCAACTTTTTAGATGGAGAGATGCCATTGGGTACTTATGGGAAATAACTTTGGAATTCAGAAGCTGATTTCTATGTTGTCCAAATCAGTATCCAAGTGGCGTTTAAACTGCTTCTAACCTTGGGCCTCAATTCCATTTCACCACCGCAATCAGATTTCAGATACGCCACTGGCAAAGCTGCATTCACAAGCAGGAGTGGCCACCCTAATAGGGGCAGGGAAGGGAGGCTGCACTACCATGTGACTAGCAGAGACTTGAAAGTCTGATGTAACTACTGTGCAGAGAGATTCGTACCTAGGGATGAAACAATAGTAACTTTGGGATGGGATCTGTGGACAGCTAGAGCAGGTTGACTTTTTTGTGATGACATACCAATGTTCTAGTCCCCATGAAAAAGGATGCACGAAGATGAAATGAACATGGCCCCTACAGCGCCACCAGCAGAGGCAATGCCTCTTAGGAAAGGAGATGCAAGGTGGGACCTATAGCAAAAAACTGCAAAGCAGAAAATATGGCTGGCGAGCTTCCAAGGGAGGGATCTTTTCTGGGACAATGACACATGAATCTAGCTTTCCCCACCTAAGCAGAAAAGCCTAGCTTCTCCACCATGGGGAAGGAGATGAGGAATTTACCTTCCATCAATAATGGAGAATTTGTGTGACACACACACACCAGACTCCTCAACCTTATCCTCACCATGTGCACTCGCCAGCAAGTCTCAAAACTTCCTTGCAGAAGGAGGAAGGACATCTGGGACAAAAACCTCATTGCATCAGCTTCTAACTCAGAGCTAGGTAGAGCTCTGAAATTACAGCCACCCCTGCATCCAGGTGAGACCAAAGCGCCTAATTCAAGCATGTCTTGATTCCTCTGGTGACATTTCTTCTGGATCCACCCAAGCTGGATATCTTAGCTTCTTCTCAAGGCTAAATTCCTATGTACCTTAGTGCTCTTCAAATGTCTTGCTGAAACAACATGTGCTTAACTGTAAAGGGAAATTTCATTCTCAGGGGAGGTATACAATAATGCATAATATACAATAAATATTCAAAGTGGTCAACCAGCTGGGGAGCTTGGTAGACTCCCAGGTTTCTAACTGCAGGGCAGAGGCAGGGAAAAGAGGGATTGCCAATCTCCTGCAGAATCTGCCTAGAACACACATTGGTATATCAGAAGCCTAATATCACAAAGAGCAGGGCCTTGACATCACAGAGGGTTAAGCCCTGGCTCTGAGATGTGAGACACAAGACCTCCCCTCCTCTGCCAGAAAAGTCCAACATAAGCAATTTGCTAGCTTAGGAATTCACACACTGAAATATCTTTTTTAAAAAATGCACATCACCTAGTGCTCCCTTCAAAATCCCTCTCCAAAGGTTTGACTTCCTAGTATTGGTAATATCCTGTCAAACCCCTCTTTTAAAATTCAAGTATCTTTGAAAGAGATCTCAAATCCAGGGCCCACTGCCATCTCCTCCCCAACAGTCCAAGCAAAGGGGAGGGAAGTCTGCAGTTTTGGAAGGGTACATACTTTGAAATAGGGGGAAAGCACAAGAGGACAGTAAGGGTATAAGACAGATTTGACTTTTGTCACAAAGTGCCAAGGGCCAGCCCCAGCCAATATAGTGCCTTGAAGTCATTCATGTCCAAATGAATCTTATATGACCCCATGGACAAACTTATCTCTGGGTTGGTGGAAGGCTAACCTTTTACTTATATAACCTCCAAGCCAGAACACTGGCGAGTAAGATGAGGTGCTAGAATAATTAGGCTTGGGTAATAAATACAAATGAGGGCTGTCATGTTATGGGAAAAACCAGAAGTGGGATCCCTCCCTAAGACCACTGTGAGCAGAGACTAAATCCTCACCATCATGATTTTTTTGTTTTCTTCTTGTACATTTTTTTTTCCAGTGTGTTACCTGGGGCTACTCTGAAGAGTTCATTTTTTTCCCGCTCAGCAAACAAAATCTTCCATACCTGGAATCCATGACATCAAAAATGAGAGACCCAGATGAAGACTGGGTGGTTCTCTGCTTCCCAGAGGGGAGCCCAGGAAGGGCAGCTAGGAAGACCATGGGAACCTATGCTCTCCCTGGTCCAGCACACAGAGGACAGGGCACAGCTTCAAGAAAGCCCCAGCTCTTCTGCAAGCAGAGTTACAGTAGTCAGGTCATGTTTGCAGGCACGAACACAGAACTGCCCACTCGCGGGTTACTTCTGGACAATTCCAACCTGTTCAACTGGATCTCCAGGAGACAGCAGATTTAGTAGTCTCAGGGTCCCCACTGGACCAATCCAGAAAAAAGGTTTCTGTTATTTGATTTTCAACATGGCAAAAGGATCAGTAGTAAAGAAATCCAGTAGATTACCATAGCTCCCTACCCCACAACTGAGTGAAAACACATTTTACACACAAACACACACATGTGCACCACGCACATGTGCACGTGTGTTTTAAATACCTATATAAATACCAAAAAAAAAAAACCCAAAGGTGCTCCTGGGGCAGTCAGAATGCCACTGCTGAGGGCTGAGGCCCAAGCACCTTAGGGAAGCAGGAGGTGGGTTGCCAGTGTCCATACTGTGAGGGGCAATGCCAGTCTGCCAAGTGAGAGCAGAGTGGTTCCCACACCACCCTGGACCCTCCTAATGAGTTGCATCCAGTTGCTAGGATCCTGCTGCTCCGAGTCACAGGTAGCACCCATGTCATCCTCCGTCTCCTGGCAGTGGGAATTTGGGTCACAAGGACTTGTGAATCACAGCAACACCTAACGTGAAAGGGAAAGAAAGTTATCATCATAGCTTCGAGTCCCAATGAGTCATCCTACATCATAGCCAAAAGAAATAGGTATCATTTTTACCCAAATATTGAAGGACTGTGATTTAGGGTTGACAGCAGCTAGCTGTTTCCTACTCTAACAGTCAAGTCTCAGCATGACATTTGAAACCGTGAGCACAGTCCCTCAGACACCCCAGGTTGGCACTGTCACACAGATCTTCTAGTGTGATGTCACCTGTTCCAAACCCTAGCAGTCTGCTTAACAATGCTCACCACTCTTACTGGAAACCCAGAGGTTCTACATAGCTCTAAATATGTGTCACTTTAGGAGAAGAAATGGGTGATTTATATCTTTTAGAAAACAGTAGAATGACGTGGAAAGAACAGTTGACTTCATGGAAGCAAGCAAAATAATCTTGATCCAAGCTCTGCCACCACTCAACCTACATTGTGGGCTTTTGGCAAATCTACTCACCTTGTAAGATGCAGTTCCCATACTGTTTAACGTCACTGAATTGCAAGAGCCTTTCAGTGCTAAATTCTCTACTTGGATAAGCACTCTAAACATGTGCATACATGTTACTGTTTTAGTAAAATGGATTAACACCTAACTTTGTGAATCCATGCATGACCCCAAATCAAACTATAATAGACTGAGGCTCTGTGGAAGACAGTATAGTTGAGTCAGTCAACATCCTTTCTACTTCTTGTCCTTTACAACAGACATCAGCTGGCAACAAACTCAGCTTCCCAGATTGCCTTGTAGCTGGAAATGCCATGTGGCTCAGTCCTGGCCAATGAGGGTATAAATGTGAGTCTTCCAGTGCTGTAATGTTGGGTGTCCCTGTCCTGCCCGGGATGTTCATGCAAGGCCTAAGAGCCAGCAGTAGCTACTGAGAAAGGTGGTAGGAGAGAAGTCTGGTTCCTCAACCATGGACTTTCTACTATCTGGGACAAATACATCCCCTTCCTTATGTAAACACCTATTGGTTAGGTTTTCCAGTACCAGCTGCTGAACAAAATACTAACTCAAAAAGATGCCTACAAGTAAGATGGTTATTGGAGCCTTATTTTAACAAACTCCAATAGCTTTTAAAAAATCTGGTTCAAGATGAGATTAAGAGAACATTGCTAAAAGAAAGACCAAGGTACCTCATTGGAGAGATTCTGCTCAGATGTCCATTTCCTGTTAATTCCTGGAGAATAGTCCAGACACAGATACCTACAGCAAGCAGAACCTGTGTCCAGGCCAAGAGGTGGTGCCTGACCTTGATGCATCTCACCTCCACCTCAGACATCTCTTTCACAAAGTACTATTTTTTTAAATCAGGATTGCTTTTTTAATATAAGCTTTCTTTTGGTTATAAACATACTATATTTTCCTTTTGGAAAATGTAGAACACACAAAAAAACCTTTAATCCCTTCATACAAAGAGAACTACCATTATTTTCCTGGAATATTTCCTAGCTTCTAATAATCATCACAATCTTTTACTCAGTGTTGAGTGCCAGGCAGACCTTGTGCTAAATGCTTTACTCATTACCACACTTCATTCTCACAATGGCCCTCAGAGGTTCAGTCTAATTTTTATTCCCATTTTATAAATGAGATAACAGAGGTTCAGTCAGATTGAATACCTGGCTTGGAAACCTAGGGCTAGTGTCAAAGCTTGGATTCAAATTCAGATCTGACTCCAATGTCCATTTCCAGAAGCTACAGCTATTCACTACCCATCCCCCTACATAGGACCATCGGACTGAGCACACACAACACATACAACTTTGTAGCCTCCTTTAACTTAAAAGTCTATCACAAACATTTTCTCATGACATTAAAAATACATCTGCTGTAAGACATTCCAGAGATTAACTATTTTTCTAACGTCAAACATTATGTAATTCTCAGTTGTTTGTTATTATAAGTAACACACCAATAAATAACTTTGTGTCTATATCTTTGTATTTCAGAGCAAATCCCTAGATTTTTAGATAATAGACTCACTCAGTCAATGGGTTTGTGCATAAAATTGCATGTTTGCTTGTCTCCTTCCCACCTACTTCTTGGGTGGACAGACAATGAAGAAAGGCACATGAAATATTCAGCATATATATGAAATTCCAATCAATCAGACCAAAGTCCTCCCCTCTCATTAAGACATTAGGTGGAACCAGGGGAAGGATCCTTCCTATGTCTCTCTGTCTTATCCTAGAAAATGCCCCACTACTCTTCCCTCTTGCAGCTGCAAAAAGAAGCACCAAACTGCTTCTAAAATGTTTCATATTTAGCAAAGGAAAATGTGACAAGTTGAGGGAAAATCCTTAAGGGGGAAAAAAGCGAAAGAAGTTCATTGCAATGAGAGCCCTGTGCTGAACGAATGTGATACAAAACCCTTTTAGTCTGCCCCACACAATTCTCCTGTGCACTGAAGTCCAAATGAGATGGGATGACCAGCCTTTCTAATGCAAAATGGGAATAAGAATACTCCTGCAGTCAAGGTACGAATTAAATGAGATAATGACCTTTAAATACTTAGGATAATGCAAGGTACATTGTGTATACTCAATAAACAGATGTCTGGCCTAACTTCCAGACAGAAGGAGCTGGGTTACAACATGAATGTACACTTTCATGTCGCTCTATGGACCTCTGACAGCAACGTCAACTGTGCTGCTGCCTCTGCTCCTTACCTCACCAAACCCTGCACACATACTTCCTGAGAAAAGGCCTCCACACTAGGATTCCATTATACCTCCCAGCCTCTTACCCCAGCCCTGAGCAGGGACAGTACTAGGGACATGGCTTACACGTTAGACCTAGGTTTGAATTCTGACTTTGCCATTTATTAGCTGTGTTCTTGGCCAATTAACTCTCAAAAGCTCAGTTCGATCATCTGCAAAATAGGATCTAGTCCTATTTAGCTGAGGGTTGCTGAAAAGATGAGAGTGAATGTATACACTGCACCCACCACACTGTCCTACAGCACAGAGCGGGAGCACTCATCAAAGAACGTGTGTGACAGTGACTCGCTCTCGGAGCTCTTCCAGGAAGAGGTCCCTGACTCCATCATTCCCACTGGTCTCTTCTGTCCTCTAGCTGGGCAGTGCATTCTACTTACAGCTTCTGTGTGCATTATCTTGTATTTCCCCTGCTCTTTCCAAACCACCTTCTGAAGAGCAAGAACCACTCTTTATACCACCTAGGAGCCTGGCACATAAAAAACCAGGAATGCCAATGAAACTCTAGGTTCTCTGTACCAGCTAAGATCAGTTGGAAACGGCTCCCTCGAACAGTCATAATTCGGATGCTACATTCAGGTTCACAGGGAAAAGAAGTGCCAATTATTAGCATCTGTCACGGACACAGAGTGTAGGAGCGGCCACCACTGGAGGAGGCACAGGGTCCCAGGTCCAGCAAGCTCTCGGCCCTCCTCTCACCCCGCCCCTGGGGTGGTGGCCTCTGGGGTGGGCGGGGCTGAACACACTGACCTGCGTAGCTCCGCCCCGTGCTCATGTTGGTTGGCAGCAGCGTCCATTTGTCTGTAACAGGATTGTAGTACTCCACCGAAGCTAGGTTGCAGGACCCGTCATCCCCTCCGACCACGTACAGGAGCCCGTTCACTGCACAGACACCTGGGGGTCGATCACAAGCCGTAGGAACACTGGAGATCATGACCCATGCGAGATACACCCAGCTGGCTCTGGGGCTCATTTCTTCCCTTCTCGGTGGCACCGTGGAGATCTGGCTCCACAGGTCTGAGTTTGAGCAGTGGGGGAACACGCTGCCAACAACCTCTGGACTCTGAGGATCCCCTTTTCTAACAGGGTGATTTCTCCCACCAGGGAACTGTCACTACTACATGGTCACACAGATGCCGTCTCTGCTGGCATCCGATTGTGGGTACAGACACTCTACCACTCTATGAGAAGTTGCCCACGGAACACACAGACCTCGCATACCCAGCCTGAAATGGGAAATGAGATAATCTGGCAAGTTCGTGTCCACTACTAATACTCTACTTGTCGGCTTTTCCCTGGTAAGCCCTGTGTTGGATCTGTCCTGTGTGGGGAATGGCTGTGTCTACAGCCCCGACACAGGATAGGGGTCTAAATTTACATGGAGTGGAGGGTCCCCTCCCCTGCCCATCCCCGAGGAAGCTGGTTTGAGGGCTAGGTCTTCTGAGGTTGGTACTGAAGAGTAGGAATATGTATCCATCAAGACTTTAAAAGGCTAAACTCCAATAAGTTGTGTTTTTACAAAGTGAGATGAAGGGAGTGGTGCCACATTTATAGAGTGATGGCACTCTAAAAAGTAACAATTATTAGTGTTGGTGAAGATACTCTAAATTACTGGTCAGAGGATAAAACAGACCACCGTCCTAGATGGTGTCTAAAACACAGGTGCTCCCTATAACTCAAAATTCCACTTCTGGCGTTTTATCTAAAGAAATGATTTTAAATGTGTGTATTGATTCTGCTATAAGAACCATTTATAATGACCAAAGCATAGCTTAGAGTATACAAAAGTTGGAAATAATAAGTGTCCAGTAATATACTGGTTGTTTAAATTATGATACAGGAATTAAAGTATCACGTAAATTAGTGTTGTAATAAGATGTTGATGAAAGATGGGAAAGTGAGTTTTAAAAAGCAGATTATAGGGCCAGGGATTTAGCTCAGTGGTTCCACCGCCTGCCTTGCAAGCGGAAGGATCTGAGTTCAATCCCCGGTACCAAAAAAAAAAAGCAGATTATAAAGCTGTTTCAGTGTGATTCCATTTTTGTTAACAGAAATATCTATGTGTGAATGTGTGTATGTACTCGCATTTACATCTAAACTTAATTCTCAGACTCCAGATAGGGTAGCTATAATTCCTTGCTCATGTGGTTTAAGGCCAAATGCCAAGTTACATTACAACAGTTGTAAGCAATGAGTAAATTAGTACATTCCCCCTCTGTTTACACCTCCAAAAAATCGGCCACAAGTGAGTTTAGCAAGTAGAATTTATGAGACTAAAGGAAATAAACTGCCTGAAAGTCACATGTTTGCATTCCAGCCTGGGAAGTGGGGCTAAGCCAACACTTTCCCAGAGCAAAGAGGTATAAAGCAAAATATACAACACAGGACATGACCCAAAGGCCTATGGTCTAAGAAAAAGTCACTTGATAGGGATGTCAGGCTCTGAGAAATATAAACACACTCCATGGTAAAGCATTCCTACAGGAAGGAAAGGAAAGGAGAGGCAGGAAATACAAAGAAGGGAATAAAGGAAGTGGTTCCACTGGAGAATCACTCATGGATCTGACTCTCCCTGCAAGGAAGGAGACTGGATTCAGGTGAAAGTAAGAGGTTCTCCTAGCCAGGAACTGGCAAAGAAGACACAAAATCAACTGTTATTATCTGGCCCATATCCACCCAGCCCTGTGCTTAGCAGCCAGCAAAGCCATTGGGGGAGGGGGAAGCTACTGGCAACCAGAGGGCTTTTCTGGGTCCATGCCCAACTGTATGCAGTAAGTTATTACATGTCCCTGGAGATAAGGGACCCTCCCCTGCACCTATTTGGGGATCTTGTGGTGAAGCTTTGTGGGTCTCAAGCTCTCTTCTCCCTAAAGCAGAGCCTACCGAGCAAACAGGTGCTTCCTGTTTAGAATCCATCTTCAGCTCCAGACTTTGACAATTTTTCCTCTCTTCCTTTCACTCAGAGCTATTGTCTACATTCTAGGAGAAAAGACGCCCAGAGAGAGGAAGAAGAGAGCAATAATATTACCTGCATTGCGCCGGCACATATTCATGTCAGCCACCTGCTTCCAAGTGTTTGTTCCAGGGTCATAAACCTCCACGCTCTTCCTCACCAAGGGCCCATCATGCCCTCCTGTGGCATACAGCTGTCCGCTGAGCACCCCAACCCCTGAAAGACAGAACACAGGGTCCTAGCCTCAAGCTAGCTATAGAAACCAAGAGGCCTGGCTGAGGAGCAGAGCTGCCTCCAGAACCTAGGAGGAGCCTTCTGGGCTGCTGTACCACTGCCCCCAGTGCCAAGGAGCAGAGCCGCCCTCAGTGCTCAGGGGGCCACATGGGCGCTAGCAGCACACAACCGTACCCCCCAACCCCACTCTGTTGAAATGAGAAGACACATAAACAAGTCTCAAAACCAGACTTCAAGATCACCTAAAGCAACCCCAAGGGGAAACGAGATGGAACACTCTGATACTCAACCACCTGGACTCTCCGAACTGGCAACAAAAGAGGATCTGGAAAAAATGACATTAGAAATAATTTCTCACATAACAGCAGAGATTGTGCCCATAGTGCAAGACATTA